TTCCAATGTGTTTTGTACGTTGCCTAGTTTTTGACATTTTTTAGCAGCCTAAGTTAAGGTCTAGAACCACCCTGAGATAGAGGTCCAAATGCCTCCTGGACTATAAGCATGGGACGGGTAGTGCACGCATATGACACGACTTCGAATTGACTAGTGCGCTTCAGGTAAGCAACTTAAAGATAGTAATTGGGTAGCAGGAGATTGTCACGTCCCAATCTCGGGAGGCGCGACCGGCGCTCAATCGAGTGAACCCAATTGAGCAAGCCTCATTGACACTTCCTACCCAACTCAATATGATTAAGGAAATCCGGCTTTTGATTATTTAGACAATAGCAAACTTAAACATTCAACGTTGTTAGTTCATTTATATACCACACATCTTACATCGTGGTTAAGTTTCCAAGGTTTTGTACAGTCATTGCTTAGACGAACTAAAGAATAGGGTTGTACACAGATCATTAACCCATCCAATACCCATACATAACCCACACAACGTCTACGGAGCCTCTATGGATACAAAAGACGAATTATGACAATGCCGGCAACAAGGCCCCGCTATACCTCAAAAAATAGAAGTCTACAACAAAGAAATACATCATAACCCCTTGAAGGAAAAAGGGGCTCACCAAGTCTTCGGGATGAGGAAACTCCACTACGCACTATCGGCACTGTCCGCTATAGAGCCACCTACATTCATTTAAAAACATAGCGACCCCGGCAAAAGGGACATTAGTACCATGGAATAGTACTAGTATGTATAACTAAACACCATCTAATTAGAAAGAAATTTCATACAAGAATAAGAAATCACAAGTATAACTCAAAAGCTTTACACTATCGTAACATTATCAAATAAAGGAATCATACATCTTTCACATCATTTTTCCGTAGTTCTTAGTTTGGGCATTTTATATTATTCATCATTGCTCACAATACCACCGCTATCTTGAGCGGAGTCCGATCTCGACCCGATCGGCTAGGTTGCCTCATTTGAGGCATACGCTTCAATCTCAATCTCATTTTCCCTTTTCTTTTCGGAATTCAATTTCAGCATGTTACCACCATGTGTGAGGCATGGCGTCCGATTACGGCCCGATCGGCTAGGCCGCCTTACCACGACGTTGTTCCTTTCTCATTAATCATTTCGTTTCACATATATCATTTCATAGGCACTTAGGGCCATAACTTATCACATCATTCTTGGCACTAGGACGCGTTTTACATTATTCCAAATTTCAATATTAGCTTTGCCATTTAGGACAGTAGGGCACACAATGGATATTCAAATCGTAAGCATAAATAAGATTCCCAGTATATGGCACAACAACACAATTTCAATCTAAATTAAAGTCTAAGCATTTTAATACATGATTCATACCTCTTGCCCCTTTCAAGTTATCAAGATAGCACGGTGATCACGTTGAGACACATTTTTCACACATATAAGGTTACAACATCAACTCATGTAAAATAACAAGCAATGCAACAATTCAACTTTAACCTTACCATGTTCACACAATCACCGATGAAGCTCAATTTCTAAAAGACGGGGTTTTAGCCATACATACCTCAATAAAGCTTTCCTTAATCCTTACAATATTCCGGAACTCTTAGCACTTCGATCTATTGTATAAGAATTACAAATTGAACCAAGAATCAGGGACAAGATTAGGATTCTAGCTCGTTTGAGCATATTATCAAGCACTAAGGGTGCATTGTGATCTTAGGTTCTTTTTGTGAGAGATTTCTATCATTTTATACCCTAATTGCTTTCTTTTTAGTTCACAACTTCTCAATACTCCATGATCTTGTATGCATGTAAGAAATCTATTCTTATACCCATAAATTACTTTACTAATGACCCCTTATGGCTATGTCTTAAAATTTAAGAGCTGAGGTGATGAAGTCTTACCTCTTGGGATGAAGTTTAGGTGTCTCACTTGATTATCTTCAATGTTTAACAAGGATTTGTGGAGCAATTTTTGATGAGAAGCACTTCCCCTCTCTTAGACCCTCTTTCTCACTCTAAAAGTACCAGAAAATAGGCTCAAAATGAGCTATTGCACAAGATATAACAACAGGGGGTCGGGTTTTAAAAATTAGAAAATAGGAGCCCGACCCAAATCTGCGATCGCAAAGCTGACATGCGGTCTGCAGAATGGACCGCAAAATGCTCCCCAAAACCTGAGGACAATGTTTGGATATGCGTTGGAAATGCGGTCAGCATACCCGTTCTCCGGTCGCATAGTGCACCGAAGAACTACCCCTTACAAAATCCCAAGGGGATTATGCGACGACTATGCGGTCCGCATATCGATTATGCGATCGCATAATTGACCGCATAGTTGACCTCAAATTTGACCATCACACTGTTTCACTCTGCGGCGACTATGCGGTCCGCATACTAGTTATGCGACCGCATTCTCGACCGCATAATCACACTTTTCTGGAAAACATTATTTCTTGACTTTTTAGTGCACAGATCTATCCAAAGGGTTCGAGCCGAATTTTTGCAAATTTCTAACACGTATTTCTAACTTGGAACTACGAGCTCTCGTGTTTTGAGTAGAAATTTTCACGGGGCCTTACAGAGATGATAGTCTGTGCCCGCTGAATAATATGAGTAACACCCCATCTCGAGGGAGTTACAAAGTATTATTTATGTTGCACGGGGTGATCCTTTAAGCTAAAAACATAGGACCCCCTTCCACCTTGTCTTTCAATCAATTACTCATGTTTAGTAATTCCTTATTTCTTAGCTTTGATCACATAGGCTAATTCATATAATTGAGTTCGGCCGGGACCCACACTTCTGGACCTCGAAGAGTGCCTAACACTTTCTCTTCGAGGTAATTTCGAGTCCTTACCCGATCTTTGGTGACGCAAACTGGTTAGACAGAGTTATTTGCAAATAGGTGCCCTAACGCACCTTAATCCGTTAGGTGGCGACTCTCTCTTTTAACACCTTCTTAAAAGAGTTGTCACGTGTCAAAACCTGATTTCGCGAGAAAATTGGGCGCGACAATCACGTCTTCGGTTCTCACCTGAATGAACGTCCCCAGCTAGTCTCGATCTCGGTACTCGTCGATGCACGATAAAGGAGTCTTGCTTGCTCGACGAACGAGCTTGGTAAGTCCCCTTCGGAAGATCCGGGGACTCTATAGGCGGAGTAGATTGTCTACGGTGAACTGGGGAGCTTCGGTATTGTTCACGAAATGGCATAAGAGGATCACGATCCTCTAGAATGACGGGTGGATTTGCTAAGGCACACCTCGTACCTTTTGCAGAAAGCAAGGACTATGGGGTCCACCGTGGCGAGAGAGAAGGAGTAAGTGTAAACACGCAAATACCCCTTGACGTTTGTAGTAATATCATCGTTAGGCCCGGGAACGACCACGTTCTTACTCTCCCATTTATTGTCCTCTCGGACTATGGGTAGGCTTTCTTTAGTGACAGAGCATATGTATCTCCGTGCCCCCTCGCCTCGGTCTTGTTGACTAGAAGCCTTCTCGAACTTGAAGTCATCCCCGATAAAGCAGCCCCCGGGTATAAAGCTCTTCATGGAGGGCTCCTGAGCCACTTCGGGAACGGCCACCTCGGCATCTGCGGCCGGCTGGGAAGATGATGGAGCAGGCTGCTAAGGCACTGACTTGGAAGTTTTTGCCATTATAATATGTGAAGTATGAAGAAATATATAAAGATTTGAAGATGCTACGAAGGTATGAAGGTTTGGGTTGAAGGTTCAAAGAAGATGTATGAAGATGAAGATGAAGACATGAAGGCTCAAAGAACAATATATGAGATCTAGAGAAGTTACAACATGTTAGAGAGTTCAAGGGTAAAGTCTAGAATCGGAAAATAGAAGAAGTGAAAAAGGTTGAAGCTTTTATAGGGGAAAAACAATCAATGTGCAACGTTTCGTATTCGAAGGCAACCAGCCGGTGACTCACACGTGTCCAAAGTCAAAACGACGTGATTGATGGGACGTTTTGATTTACCCGCCATCTCAGTTTTAATGTACAAAGGAAGGAACCGAGGTTCATCTATTGTTTTCCATCGTTTCGGCAAACCTTCTCTCCGGAAAATGAGGGGACTATCTGTATACGGGTAAAATTGGGGGTAATGCATACCTCGATTTTCCTCTGAAGAAAACAGAAGAAGGGCATTGACGCACGAGATCGAAATCGAGGTTGGGAGCCCTTCGTATCGAGACCCATGGAAGGTGAACGATATGTTCATCATCGGGCATATTAAAGGGACGCTCCCCGGACCCAGAACGAGAAACCTCAGGAAACACAGTAAATGGTTACACACAACAAATAGAGGGTTGTGATATTCGTACCTAATTGGATATCACGGCGCAGACCTCACTCGATGTCGGTTACGGATCAGTAGCTAACGAGAAAGGAAGATTTTTACCTTTTTAGACTTGTACTAAGGATGAATCTCTCCTACTATATAAAGAGAAAGTTTTTCTTTTGTAACACATATTCTAACACGTGAATCAAAGCAATACAAATTCATTTTCTGTTTTCTAGCTATTGCAAAAGTTCTTATTTAATTGTCCTATTTTGCATTCACCAATAGGCTCGAATCAAGGGTCCAATCGAAGGCAAAATTACTGCTCAACTTAGGTTCGGACTAGGCCATGACATCACAACTGATTTAATCGTTTATTTTATCTTTAATTCGTTTATCTAATAATTTGTGTCGAATCAATCTACGTATTCTTAAAACCGCGTACAAATTTAATTATTTTCCTATTTAAGGGTAAACAGTAGCTATCCCAATAAAATTTTAACTTGAATACATTAATGACTTTAGATTCCTGAAATTTGGAAAGATCTTACTTATAAAATTACTACTGCACTTCTTTAATAAAAACCCCACAAGATAATTTAGAAAAGAAAATCAGAGTTGCACCGTCATTGCTGACTCACGGATCCAATGACCCCGGGTCCACAAGAATAGATCCCGGACCCACGTTTTCTCATGTGAATTTATTAAGTTCATCAGTCTTTTCACTTTTCCGAAAAAATCTGTTACTCCAACGTTAATGGCGATCACAGAAGGCGCCAGCAAAACCGATTCGCGGTTAATTTTCACGTACGGAACCCTAAAGCGCGGATTCCCCAACCATTTCCTGATGGAAAATCTGATCGGCGCCGGCGACGTCGTTTTCGTCGGCGAGTACACGACAGTGGAGACGTTCCCGCTCGTCTGCGGGCCCTACGGGATCCCGTACCTGATCAACATCCTCGGGTCGGGTAACCGGGTCAAGGGCGAGCTCTACAAGGTGAATGGCAGTGGGCTTGGGCCGCTGGACGATCTGGAAGGGATTGAGAGAGGCCATTACGAGAGGCTGCCGGTGATCGTCGCCGGAGACGGCGGTGAGAAGGTGGCGGCGGAGGCATACTTCGGGCACAAGAGCTTTGGAGAAGGAATGTGGAAGAGGTGCGGAGAATTAGGGTTTGAGGAGTTCACTATGGAAATGGGGGAGAAATGTGAGAAGAAAGAAGACAGGCCTCCCAGTAATGATTTTCTTGAAGATATTAGAGATTTTATCTCCAATGGGAACTGAGATTGTAATATTCTCCTCTCTTAATTAAACTTTTTAGTTAGATAATTAATAAGAAGGAAAACACATGATTATGTCATTGTCATTATTGCTATTATGTCTACGGCAAATGCTTTAAATTGTATGGAAATGATTATTGTGAGAAACAATTCTATAACTTCGAAGTCTATAGTGTAGAACTCTAATTTCTGTTTGTTTTTTCTGTATTTGTTAATTAGTTTGGATTATTATTGCCGTAATATAGTCGAATAGTTAGTTTCCTTCCTCCAATTTTTTACTTTCTTTTATAAAGAATGACTAGTTTGATGAAATACCATGATCTATTTCAAGAAAATGTATTGGCGAGTATGTCCATCTCCCATTCACAAACTAGTAGGACTAATTATTATGTAACTATTATAAGAATTTTTTATACAGGTAAGATTAAGAGATAAAACACAAACATAATTTTAAGTTATGGTTAAGACAATGTACCATTCAACTTCATTGATGTGATATCGTCATATCGGCATCAATTGGCAATTAGATTTAACGTCCTGCAATTTATGTATTTTCTCAACTTAAAATCCCACTATTGCATCATAACTGAATCTCCATAAACGGACAGAAAGCTAACAACCCAATACAAGAAGAAGAAAATTTTTAGTGGTTATTAGCTTGCTATATCACCATTTACTAAATTACTTCCTATAACTATATTTTAACTTGTTATAGAGTGTACTCCGTGTATTTAATCTAATGTATTCAAGAATATAATAGGAAAAGTCGGCGGAAGAAAAGGGAATTACAGCTAACACATAGGCTGTATTCATATGTATTCGCGAGCTGTATTCGTGAATACGTAACGGAAATCTACGAAAAAAAGGTCTTCAAATGTTTAAAAACGGTAAGTGAATCAATTAACGCGATAGACTCCTAATATAACTCAACAAACTCAATTATAACACACAACATTTGTATTTTCGGTTATAGAAAAGATTCTCAACCAAAAGACACCCCAAAAACAGACCAAATCCCTGTTACACACTTTTTGCGGACAAAAATTACGTTACACACTCAACCTTTCCGGAGTGTGCCTAATACACACTATTTTGCCCACGTGGCCAGTGCGTGCTTTGCCCAACAAATAAAGCGCGTGAACAAAAGACTTTTTATATCAGTTGTCAATTTTTTTAGCTTTTTAAAATCATTAATTGGATCATCTTCTTCTTGGTATAAAAAAATTCACCGAATCTGCCATGGCTGTTCCTTAACACTTAGACCCACTTCTCTCCACCATCCGATCTCGTTTTCTCAAATAGACCCATCACTATTTTTCCTATCTCTTCTCGTTGATTAGTTTTTAGCTTTTTCCAGATCTTTTGCCGAGAAACTGTGATTCGATTCGGCAACTAAATCTTTTTATAGCTCTCCCAACCACTAAATCTTGGCTCAAGCTTTTGCAGCGAAGATTATTTTTTTTTTCTGGTGAGCTGGTCGTCTGTTTGCCTATTAAGTTGAGCATGTTCTAATTAAGAAAGAAGGCATACACTTCAATCTTAATAGTCACAATCTCAAATCCCTTCTAGTGATCGTGAAGAGTCACCATTACCACAATTGTTGGTTACTCCTGTGCCTTTAGAAGAACATGAGCAAATTCCGATTTATAATCATCATTCATCTGAGTTCAGATTTTTATTCTAGCAGACCTGTGATTTTTGTTAGTTAATAGTGGCTTTGTCTTTAAGTGGGCGGTGGGATAAGAGGGTGTGGTTGATGGTAAGAAGAGGAGGAAGACGACATCCATGGGGGTTTAGATGGGGAAGCTATATTTTAAAATGGCTAAGGGATATAGTTGTAATTTTAAGTGATTTATTTTTTGCTAAAAAAAGAAAGTACACGTGTCACGACTTTATTGGTGCGTGATATTACACATATTCTGAAAAATTGGTTTAAAAAAAAAAGTAGTGTGCATTAGACACACTTTGAAAAGGTTGAGTGTGTAAAGTAATTTTTGTCCGCAAAAAATGTGTAACATGGATTTGGTCCATAGTTCAAGGGGTAACTTATGTATTTTGCCTTTAAATTATATAATTACATTGAATACAGTTAAATACATAAAAATACATTGAATACATGAAGTATAACAGGTCATCTATAGTGCAAAAACATATGAATACATACTGCAGATACATTTGAATATATATATACATCTGAATACATAAATTATATTAATTTAAAAAATATATGAATACATTCTACAATACATTGAAGACATACTGCTGAATATATATTGCTGCTGTCACACCTCCTTTTTTACACACCTACCCCGGAGGATAATGTATAAGGGAGTTTTTCCATTTAAAGTGACATTATTCGAAATGGGATTATTTATTTATTTAGAGTCGCCACTTGGGATAGGATTGGCTTTTGGTGTCCCAAGTCACCGGTTTAACTTGATCCCAAATCGAGGAAAATTTTGACTTCCCAGTTGGAGTCTGCGAACCAGAAATTCTGAATAAGGAATTCTGTTGACCCGAGGGAAGGTGTCAGGCAACCCCGGATCCCGTGGTTCTAGCACGGTCGCTTAAATTATTATAAATGGCTAAAAATCTGGTTTTATGCATGTTCAAACCTATAGTGCAATTTTATAAATTTGTTTAACCGCTTTTAATTGGTTTTTATGAAAGTGAACGCCGTTTAAGAGCGTGTTTTTGGATCACGTCACATGAAATGCACCCGGATCCTCAACACCTCTTATTCAACGTTTTGGGATTTGGATTTGAGTTGCATGAAAGGCACACCCGAGTTTAGGAGAGTAATATTATTAACAGCGCTCCTAAAGTGGCTAGCGTCTTATTAACTTTGCGGAAGCCATGAAAATTCGCTAAATGGAATCTCCCGAATCTCTAAAATGTTTTAATATAGTATTTAATGAGGGCCCCGCAATTTTATGTTTTATGCGGCGAGGCTCGTCTCATGTTTTATTTAAAGGCCATCCTAAAAGAAAACTATGATTTTCTATTGTAGTGTTATCTCTAAAGGGCCTAGTTAATTTATTAACAATAACAGTAAACTATTAATTAAGGAATCCGAACCCTCAAACTCAAGTCCACACCTGAACAAAAGGACATCCTCTTAGTTCAAATGTGCGACCTAGCTTGAGAGGCCCAAAATTAACAAATATCTTTTAACCTTTAGCTCACAGTTTGACCAGTGAGGTAGAGCCTTCAGCAGTTCAAGAATTCGAATCCGGCCCAAGTAATTGGTCAATTTATTCATAGGAGGGTTGCTCAGCATCTAGACCTAATGACGATATCCAGGCCCAAGGCGTTGGTGCGAGCATTATTAAGGGTGGCGATTTTGGGCTTAGCGTGTGAGCCCAGTAGGATAAGGATCCTAGTGCCAACTTATAGGTCCAATTATGTGAGCAAGTACACTTAGCTGTACAAATATTTTCACGTCCAGGTGCAGTACAATCCTGGAAACAGCTTGAGTAATTCATGCTAAGAATTGGACACGAAGTAGCTAGATTACTACATCTCACACAACCAATACCATTATTGCATTTGCTTTGTTTTCTATACCTGCTGGAAACAAACTAAACTACAATACACTGCACTACATTCACAAGTCAAACCAAATTTAAACTGATGACTATTTATTTCACATGTTCATGAGAATAAAATTAAAAGTTCAAAATTAAAACAGTCCAGTATCAGTCCATTACACCACATGAAATATCTAATAAACTAATGTTTGAAACATCAAGATCAACCAAAAGCAGAAGAAGCTCAGAGATCGACTTCAAATAGCAGATTTATTTCATTTCGTAGACTCGAGGGCTAAGCACATGTACCTGGAAAAAGGAACAAAGGCAGGTATTGAGAACCAGTGAAGTAAGGCAACAACAACAGGAGTTCACACAGCAACAACCACACAGCTTCGAACCAGAAATGAATCAGCAGTCCCAAAAGTTCAAAATCAAACGGAATCTAGCAGATCCATTTTAACACAGCAGCAAACCAAATAGAAATGAACACCAATGCGTAGACAACCAAAGAAACACCCAAACTAAGTCAAATCTGAACTTAAAACCCTTATGAAACTTCACTGGTGCATAGCCTAGCCAAATTCTCGCTTAATTTGATTCAATTGTACTTGAAATGAGTCTCTACACTTCAACAAGCAGCAATACGTAACTACAGAAA